GGGGGGGGCATAGTGGGAGGGGAGAGAAGCGAAGACGGGCCATGACATACCGCCTCGAAGCCATGGAAGGAGTTGTCCACCGCGCGGATGGCCTTCTGCAGGGCCTCCTCGAAGGTCCGGCCAATGGCCATCACCTCGCCGACGGACTTCATAGCCGAGGCAATGCGGTTGGACACGCGCGTGAACTTGCGCAAATCCCACCGAGGGACCTTGACCACGCAGTAATCCAGGGCCGGCTCGAAGCAGAGAGTGGTCGGGGTCTCGGTAACACGGTTGACAATCTCCGGCAGGGGGATGTTCAGGGCCAGCTTGGCCGCCACAAAGGCCAGCGGGTAGCCGGTGGCCTTGGAGGCCAGGGCCGAGGACCGTGACAGGCGGGCATTCACCTCGATGATGCAGTACTCATCGGTGGCCGGGTTGACGGCGTACTGGATGTTGCACTCGCCAACCACCCCCAGGTGCCGGACCACGCTCAGGGCGGTGGACCGGAGCCGGCGGTTGTCCGCATCGGTCAGGGTCATGGTCGGGGCCACGACAATCGAGTCGCCGGTGTGCACACCCAGCGGGTCGACATTCTCCATGTTGCACACGGTCACACAGTTGTCCGCGCAATCGCGCACCACCTCATACTCGATCTCCTTCCAGCCCTGCATGGACCGTTCGATGAGCACCTGCGGCGCCACGGCGAAGGCCTTGGTGCAAAGGTCCACCAGCTCCGCCTCGGTATGGGCAAACCCGGACCCAAGCCCACCCAGGGCAAAGGCCGCGCGCACGATCAGCGGGTAGCCAATGCGGTTGGCCGCGTCGATGGCCTCCTCCATGGAGGTGGCCGGCGAGCTCTCGGCGCACGACTCGCCAATCTCCTCCATGGCCTTGGCGAAGAGCTCGCGATCCTCGGTCAGGATGACCGTTTCGATGGGCGTCCCCAGCACTTGGACGCCGAGCTCCTTCAGCTCCTGGTGCAGCTCGATGCCGACGTTGAGGGCGGTCTGCCCGCCGAAGGACACCGAAATGCCTGTGTTCGGAGGGAGGGAAGAGAGAGGGGAGAGGGTCGGCCCGCCCCGAGAAGCGAGGACGAGTACAGAGGAAGGGTCGTGAGCGTGGGGACACACACGGGCGACAGTGCCCGGGAGGGCTGCTGGGGGAGGAAGGGCCGGGGCCATTCGGGACAAAGAGGGGGAAGAAGGAAAAGGCCAGACATACCATCCGGGCGCTCATACTCGATGACCTTGCGCACATACTCGGCGTTGATCGGCAGGAAGTACACCTTGTCGGCCAGCCCGCGGGAGGTCTGCACAGTGGCGATGTTCGGGTTGATGAGAATCACCCGGATGCCCTCCTCCTTGAAGGCCTTGATGGCTTGCGAGCCGGAGTAGTCGAACTCGCCGGCCTGGCCGATGGAGAGACCGCCGGACCCGAGGAGAAGGATCTTGCGCGGGCGCAGTCGGGCCGGGACCGCGGCATTGGCGGCCGCCGGCGAGGGGGCAGCCAGGGGGCGCATTGGGCGATCCTCCCCCCCGAGGGAGGAGATGTCCAGCAGGTCACGCGCGGCCTCGAGGAAGCGATCGAACAGGAAATCCGTGTCCGACGGGCCGGGCCGGCCTTCCGGGTGGAACTGCACCGAGAAGTGGGGCCGGCTGCGCGAGGCCACACCCTCGCAGGTGTGATCATTGGCATTGGCGAACAGCTGGTCCCAGGCGCCGGAGGCCTCGAGCGACTCGAAGTCCACGGCCACGCCGTGGTTCTGTGGGGGTGCGCGGCGGCGGTGGAGGCAGCAGGGTGGACCGGGGCGAAACGTGTGAGCGGGGAAAAAAAGCAAGGGCAAATCTCTGGAAGGTGGGGTAGAGGGGGGGGGGGGGGGCATGAAATGGACACACCTGGGCCGTGATATAGCAGCGCTGGGTGAGCGGGTCCCGCGAGGGGACATTCGGCGCGCGGCGAGCCTGGGCCAGGGCAGTCAGCGACCCCCCGGCTGCCAGAGCCAGCAGGTGGTGGCCAAGGCCGATGCCGAAAACCGGCTTCGGCCAGCGGGCCAGGAGGACCGCCAGCCGGGCAATGGTCCCGGCACAGGGGTGCTCGGAGGCGGAAAACCCGGCGGAAGACGGGTCCACCGGACCACTGGTCACCAGAACCGCGTCCACCGGGCCGACAGTGGATGGGGCAGCCTCGCCAGCAGCATCGATGCCGAAGCTGGCGTCGGAGCCCGGGGCCACGACGGGGGCGGGAGCGGCCAAAGCGTCAGGCACCCAGGCGCCGGCGGGGCCGGCCGGGTCCTCCAGCCCCAGGGCCGTCAGAATGTCGAAGTTCCACGGCACAACGACAACCTCGGCGCCACGGTTGGTCAGAGCGCGGATTTGCGCATGCTTCAGGCCCATGTCAAGGGCCAGGACGCGCAGCGGACGCTTGCCATCCGTCGCCGGGGCGGCCGTCGACGGGCTGGAAGCACCAGCCCGGGCAACCGGGCCGGTCGGCCGGAAGAGCCGGGGCGCCTTGATCGAGGCTACACGCGCATATCAGGGGGGGGAGGGGGCAGGGACACGGCGATTCACAGGGAGATGGCATTTGTCAGTTGGCGAAATCCCGGTATGGCAGTCAAGAGAAGAGCCAGGCGGCGGCGGAGGAGGAGGAGGCGGCGGCGGCGGCGAAGAAGAAGAAGGCACACACCCTCGGCAACCAGGTTCCGTCCGGTGAAGGGGGCGCCCCATGTCATGCCGGCAACGACGGCCGCCGGGCCGGAGGCGCGAAGCTCGGCCGCCACACGGGCGGCCTCCTCGCCAATGAGGATCCGCGCCCACAGGTGGCCGGGTCCGGTGAAGCGGCTAATGCGCCGGGTCAGGGCACGGGTGTCCACACCGCAGATGGCAGGCACGCCCTCCCGAGCAAGCCAGGCGCCCAGGGAGTCGGCCGCACGCCAGTGGGAGTAGTCGGCCCCGGCGCCGGCGTCCGAGCCGACAACCACGGCCGTTGCCCGGGCCCGGGCGGACTCGCGATGCCGGGCCAGGCCATTGGCGTCGGCCTCATAGGAGGCGCTCGGCACACCGGCGGCACCGGGCATCGGGTGGGTCAGGACCAAAACATGGCCCCCGTGCGAGGGATCGGTGATGGACTCGATGTGGCCGACCGGGCCGGCGAGGACGGTCGCCAGGCCGGTGGCGCCGGCCGCCGCGCCAAAGGACCGGCCCACCAGCGGGGTACCGCCGTCGCTGAGAACAAGCAGGGCCAGCGGGAGGGCATCCTGCTCGTCGTCCACAGTCAGGGCCGGGGCATTCGACTCGAGGAAAGCCTCCGCACCGGGGAAGGTGTACTCGGGGGCCGTCATGTTTGGTGTAGAGAGGGAGGGAGGTGTGGTGTAGAGTGTGCGCCTGACGTCACGAACAGGGGGGAGAGGGGGGAGGGGTGAGGAGGCCGGACAAACGGCGTGTATGCATGTGGGGCGGACACAGCCACAGAAGGGGGAAAGAGAACAGCAGGGGGACATGTGTGTGCCAAGAAAGAGGCGCACCTCAGCAAGGGAGCGCGGGCTGGGACAGCGGCGGGCGTGGCGCGCGCGGGTCTCTCCGGATCGGGGGTCAGGGAAGGGGGGAGGGGTCTTTGTTCTCACGGGAAAGGGAGGTCAAAAGGAGGAGAGGAGGGAAGGGGGGGGGGGGATATGCGCGTGTCGGTCTTGTCGGAGTTGTGCGCCGTAAAAAGGGAGGGTCTCCTTGTGCGGGCGAACTACTGAAAAGAGAACATCCAAGATTGCGACGCAGAGTCTCCTTTTATACCGGCCTGTATCGCCACTTGGGGAGGGAAGCCGAGGGACAGGGGTGCCCCCCCGGTCCTCCAGGCTTCGTGCCACGTTTGCACGCGTGTCAGGTCGCGCTTCCTCCCCCGGGGGAGGGAGGGCACAGGCGGCATGCCCGCTGGAGTGCAAACGCGCCCCCCCTCTCCGCCTTTTGGGTTGGGCCCGATCCGCAGAGACTAATGCCCCGACATGGGGCCACACCAGGGAGGCCTGCCCAAGTACAGGGTGAAAGGCGCACGAATGCGTTCCTGTCCTGTCTTGTCTGTAAGTGTGTGGAGAAAAAGCAAGCGAGGATGACATGACAAAGAGAGAGAGAGAGGGACCGAGAACGGAGTGTAGCCGCGTGGAAGGAGGGAGTCCGTGTGTTGAGACGCAGCCTCTCGGGGGGGGGGGGGGAGGGGGGGACACGCTGCCCCGGGGACGGGGTGCCCACATCGTGAAAAAAAAAAAAAAGGAGGGACACATAGGATAAACGGCCACCCTCGCAGTCCCGGACGATGGGGAAAACAGTGGCTCAAGTGGGGCGCCACACGGGCCCCGGGGCAGGGAGCCACCCACAGGCAACCCCGGATGAGTCGGGGTCCCCCTGGGCCGGCTGCCAGGATGTCGGGCAGCCGCCCCCCTCCCCTCCAGGCTGGTGCCCTTCCACGGCCGCCGGGGACCATGCGGCCCCCGGGGGCAGAGGCGGGCCCCGAATCCGGCACATACCAACACTGCCCACGGACCACGCCCTCGGGCACGCGGTTGGCATGGCTTTGGTGGCGTGACTGGGCGCCCCGGGCGTGATGCTCCACATGAGCAGCGCTCGCGCGGCCGCCGGCGGCCCAGATGCCTCGCGAGTGATCGGCATGGCCCCCCTTCTATTTTGTCGTCGGGCCCAGAAAAAAAAAAAACAACGACAACCTGAGGAAGAAACAGCCGCGGAGGGGGGGGGGGGGGGGGGGGGGGGGGGGGAGGGGGGAGAGAGGGGAGGGGCGGGGGGAGGGGGGGGAAAAGGGGGGGGGGGGGGGGGGGGGGGGGGGGGGGAAGCGTGTGTATGCAGGTACATGGATGACTCTACTTCACTGTGAAGAAAGGGGATGAGGGGGGGGGGAGGGGGGAGGGGATAAGAGACAAGGACAATGTGAAAAGACAAGGACAGGAGAGCTGAGGAGGGGGAAGGGGGCGGCATGTGCACCGGGAGAGGGAAAGCTAGTGGGCATGCGACGCCGGCGAGGCAAGGGCATAAGTCGTCCGGAGGAGGGCGCAGCGCTCGCTCAGGAGCACCGATGCCTCGGAGAAAATCTGCTGCAGGAGCTCGTCGGCTCGAGAGGAGTAGGGCGTCTCGGCGCCGGCCAGCTCGTCGCTGGCATCCGGGGCCGCAGCGGCGGACCGCTGCCGATGGCCCGCCCCCTCCTCCTCCTCATCCTCCTCCTCCTCGGGAGCAGCGAGCACACCCAGCGGAGCGGAAGAGCCGCCACCGGCCGCCAGGAGCCCGCGGGCCCAATCCGCGCAGCGTCCATGTTGGCCACACTCACAAAGGCATGTGGCTTCGGCCGAGGATGGGGGAAGTGGCGCCTCGGCGCCGGCAGGCGTGGCCTCCAGAAGAGCAGCCGCGACACAGGCCCCGGCCGCCGGGCAAGGAAGCCCGACGATGGCCTGGTACCGGGTCGACAGGGCCACCAAATTCCACTCAATCACACGCAGGACGCGGAATTTGTCCCGGACCTTGGACCGGACCGCCTCATGGTAATGTGCCAGGGCCAGGTCCAGTTCGGAGGTCGTGGAGCCGGGGCCCGTCACCCCGGCGGCCCCGGGCCCGGCGGCTAAGCCCCCGCCACCGGGCGCCCCGGTGGAATGATGTGCATCCGAGAAGAAGGACGACACCGAGGCCGAGCTCCGACTGAGGGAGTTGTTGCGCCGCAGGAGGGAACCCCCGACAGACGAGGACGGGGGATCCACCGGGACCAGTGGCTCGCCACCGGGCCCCCCGGCCCCGGGCGTCGGGAGAGAGACCAGCTCGCGGATTTCGCGCGCGCCAGCCGGCGTGGGACCCGGCCGCAGACCCAGAGCCAGGAGCAGCCGCGTGGACAAGTCGCTCGGCAGGGGGGTGGCACACACGCGACATGGAGCACCCGCGGGCATCGGATGGCCAGTGGCAGCACCGGCGCCAGCGCCGGCGCCGTGTTTGAGCTCCAGCAGCCCGGCCATCGACCCGGGCAGAGCATCGATAACCGGCATGCATGTCATCAGGGCCCGAGCTCGGGCCGGCGTCAAGCCGATCTGCTCCGCGTGGAACAGGTCATGGCGGTGCTCCTCCGGGGAGTAGACATTGAAGCGCCCACGGCCGCCGGCACCGGCCATGTTGGAAGCCAATCCGGCCGACGAGGTGGCGGCATTTGGCCCGGATCCGGGGACGGTGTGCGTGCCGATGGCCGGGGAGGGCGAACGTGAGGCCGACCCACCCGCCGGACCGCCGTCCAATGGGAGGGAGTTACACCGGCACCCGGTGGAGGGGGCCAGCCGCGGTGGCAGGACCATCCCCTGCGGGCTGACCCGGGCCCCCCCGGCCACCGGACTGCCACCGGAGGGGGATGGCGAGGCGGACAGCGAGGCAGCTGACACCAGCGACCGGCCGGCCGACATCAGCGGCGTAGCCACCGCCAGGGCCACCGAGCCATCATGCCCGGCGGCCAGTGACACGGGAGCCACGCTGATCGGCCGGCCATGGCTGGAGCCGGATTCCATGGGGATGGCCCCGGTGCCGAAGGACGGCTCCACCAAGTCCGAGGCAACGGCGATGACCGCCCGCGCGCAGGACACATGTCGAATGCTGCAGCAGCACTGGCAGATGACAAAGGAGGGCCCGGAAAGGAGCGGCGTATCCAGCGGCGGCGCGCCGCCGCTGGCGGGCCCCTGCCCAGGGCCGCTATCCCCCGGGGAGGCATGCGAGAAGGACAACGACCGGCCGGTTTGCGGCCCGGCAGGCGACAGGCGCCCGACCGGGCCGGCCGAATTCGCGCGCAGGCGAATGTCTTGCTCGCGAGCGGCGACCGTGCGCGGGTGGGTGGCCGCCGCGGCGGCAACGGCCGCGGCTCTGACGCTCGGAGTGCAGGGCTCCCGAAGGATGGACCCCTCGCACACGTCGCAGGCGATGGACCCGACCGCACCCCCGGGGCCGGGGAGGTCGTCAATCTCATCCAGCCGGAAGGGGTCCATGAGCAGGAAGTGCGCCGGCCGGAGAAGGGGCGAACTACGAGCCGGAGGTCAGAAGGTGGGCGAGGCAGCGGCGGGCATGTGCGCGGCGTGTGGATGGGCAACCGGCGAGGTGGCAAAGGGGCGACAAGGCGTCGCACCTGGATGGACGCGTTGCTCGGAGAGACCCAGCCACGCCGGCCAGGGGGATGGCAAACAGGGACGGAAACCCGGGGCTTGTGGCGATGCCGGCCATGAGAGTCGGCGCGGTGGGCGACCGGGACCCGGGGGGCGGGAGAACCCCAAGCTGGGCCAGGACCGCGGTCATCAGCCGGTCGGGGATGTCGTCCGGCGCGGCGGGGATGAGCCCGCGGCGCAGGAAACGCCCGGTGGTCACCGGGCACGGGCAGGGCGGACACAGGGGTCCGGTGTTGGCGGCGGCCGCGGCCGCGGCCGCGGCCGCCGCCCGTGTCGTGGGCTTCATGTGCCGGGGAGGCGGAGCGGGCCGATCCCGAGGATCGCCCCCGGGAGGCAGGAGGGGCTTGGTCGAGGCAAGCATGCTGACCGTGGCCCGAGCAACGGACTGGCCGGCATGCTGAAGGGCGCTGTCGGCGGCAGCCGCGGCCGTCACCGACTCCATGAACATGTCCATGCCAAAGTCGATGGATGGGAAGCGGCTGACCCCGGCAAGAGGCGTAGCCGGGGCCGAATCAGGGGTCGGAGTGGAAGCCGGGGTAATGGCCGAGGGTGAAGTTGGCACAAGCAGGGGCTCCGGGGCGGGCATCGACCGCGGCCCCGTGGCTGGTGTGATGGTGAGTTTGGAAGATGCCGAGGTAGGACCAAGCCTGGCTGTGGGCCCAGAAGCCTCGGCGGTGGGCTCAGCACCGAGCTTGATTGCAGGACCTGAGGCGGCTTCGGACAAGGGACCAGTGGCACACTTGGGAGTGGACTCAGTAGCGGGCTCGGGAGCGGGCTCGGGAGCGGGCTCGGGAGCGGGCTCGGGAGCGGGCTCGGGAACAGGCTCGGGAGCAGTAGCAAGCTCAGTGGTAGACTTGGCGCTAGGTCCAGTGGTGGGCTCGGGCTGCGATTTGCCCAGAGAATCCGTGGAAGTCTCGACCAGAGAAGGGTCGGAAGTGGTCTTGGGCGGTGCGGCCAGGCCGCGCTCGGTGGATGGCTCGAGCGCGGGAGCAGGCGTGGGGGCGAGCTCCAAGCCGGACGCCGGGGAGGGCTCGGCGATGGGCTCGGCAGGGGCCCTGGAAATGGACTGGACATCCGTCTCGGCAGCAGGCTTTGGCGCAGGGCCGGCAGACTGAGCGACGGCGAGATTTGTCACAGACACGGCAGCAGACCCACCTGAGGGCTGAGAGCAAGTCCCACGGCGGGCGGGTGATGTGTGCTCAGACGCCAGCTCTGGCGCGGGCGCCGATGGGGGGACGGCGCCGGTCGTTGCCGGAGGCTTGGAGACAGGCTGCGACTTGGCTGACGGTGTGCCTGGGGCCGGTGATCCAGAGGCCGATTTCTCCGGCAGGGAGGAACGGCCAGTGCCGGTGCCGCTGAAGGATGTGTGGACCGAGCTCTTTGGCGACCCTCCCGGCGAAGATCCCGTCCGGGCATTGTAAGCCAGCTCCGTGGAATTGCTTGCCTTGGCTAGCTGCTGGATACGGTCGCGCAGGGACAAAACCGGCTGCTCCGAGGGGCCAGGCGCAGACATGGCGATGGGGCGACCAACACCCACGGAGGCGAGAGCAAGCGGGAATGTGGATGTGGGAGGGGGAGGGAGGAAGAAGAGGGGCGCGGCCGGGGGGGGGGGGCGAGAAGGGGAGCCCTGCGCGCCGCAGGGCCCCCCGCCGGGGCGGGGTTTTAGAGACCTGCCAGAAGATGCGACCACATGCGCCCGCGCGTGCCGGGTGGCGACGCCTCACCAGCGCCCAACAGGCAGCTCGAGGGGCAAGAGCTGCGGCCCCTCTCTCAAGCAAGGGTGTATTTGTGAGTTTGTCCATGTGCGCGAGAGGGGGGAGAGGATGGGAAGGAGGGGGGAGGGGGAGGGAGGGAGGAAGGAGGAAATAAGGGGGCGGGGAGGGCAAGTGGGAGAGAGAGAGAGGTCGTGGAACTGGCCCCGTTTGCCCGAAGGGACTTGGATAGAACATGGTCCGGAAAAAAGGCCCCGATCCGGTCCCAAGCACGAAGCGCAGCAACAGCCCGCGCCCGGTCACATCCCCCCCCCCCCCACTCAGACCTCAGCCCAGACTCTCCATTTCGCTCATCGCGCTACATCATCCCCCCCCCCCCACGGAGGGGCCGAGAATGCTGGCCCTGCCGGATTCGGTTAAAGGACCGGACGAGCAGGGGAATGCCCCGCACGGGCAATGGGGGCGGGGGAATGCCGCGGCCGCAACTCCCAGGCCCAGTGGGGTGTGGGGCGGGGCAGAGCGGGGCACGGGCCAGATCGGTTCTTCTGCCTGCGGACCCCTGCACGCGTGAAAGGCCACGCCGGCTTGACGCCGCTCTCCGGCGTCCCCTCCAGCCTCCCTCCGGCGCGCGAGAAGGGGGGCAGGGCCGGGCGGAGGTGGCGGCGGCCCCTCGCCATATGGGGGGTTGATGGCAGAGCGGTCACGGGCCCGGGCTCGCCTGCCTGGCTGCGCCTGGTCTTGGCCGGGATTTCCCCTGCCGCCTGTCTCGACCGGCTCTCGGGCTGCGGGCCAAAGGCAACAAATGCGCCCTCCGCGAGCAAGCCCGGGTGCGTGTATTTCATTCTAGGGCAATAATGTGTCGAGGGCATTGTGTGTTGTGTGTACTGTGTTTTGTATGGGTGTGAGCGAGGGCGCATTATCGACCGCATGAATGAGCGGATATGTTGTTATTTGGGGTCAGACTTGTCCTCTGCAGAGTCGGGCCGATGAAAGACGGCCAGCGCAGGGCAACCCGGCCCGGGGCTCGGGGCCTTTATTCGCCAATATTTATTTCTCATTTGATGTGCGTCGTGCTCACGCCCCTTTTCCACCCGACCCGCTCGATCACACTCATTCGCACGCATGGATGATATCTGCCCCCCC